ATATATATATATAATTAAAAATTATTAATTTATTTTTATAACTTACTTTTCGGCATAAATATTGCATGTTATTTTATCGCACCTATTTCCGTTTATACGCAGATACTAAAATTGCGGAAGTAGGTAAATTGTGAAAATTACTAAAATATAACCACGAGTTGTGACTGGCAAACGTAACGGGCAATTATAAAATTATGAGTGCATTCATCTAGCTCGCTTTCACACCGTTACAATAATGTGTTGTTTCAAATGAAACAATTTTTTTCATTCAGATTTGCATATAAACACTAGTTTCAAGTAACGCACATTGGAACAATTTTACAAAATTAGTTAAATTTTTATTCTTTATTTATCGAAGTAAATAGACGTAACTCTAAAAGATAAAGATGAATAAATGCAAAATCAACGAAAACAGATATTTAGCGATATCTTTCACGTATGCTAATATCGGCAGAAATATCAGCCAATAATCTAACAATGGAATTCATATATTATGAATATGACAAGATACACAAGATAAAACTCTTTTCAATATAAAAACAATTTAGTCAAATTTCGCTCCAAGAACATTGCAACACTTCAACAATACTCGAACTGATTATACAAAATTTAAAATGACAAACGCATTTACAGAATTAATCACATCTGCAAAATCTATTGTCAAATTATAAAAATTTCATCGTAAATCGTTCTCTTCGTAACGACACGATTTTTTCTGGCAGAAATTGTAACAGAGCAACGGCAAATTGCGTGATTTGATATTTCCACACTGTTGCTACTACCATGTTGCACAGGATATCGCGTGACTCCAAATCCTATCTCGCATCAAATGACGAATGGCGAACGATTCATACACGAATGTAGTGAAAATCTAATCGCTAGTGTGTACGTATGTGTACGTCAATTGATGATTATTATTATATTTTCTACCATCCTCGATTAGTGTACGTCGATTATGATCGCAATTTCCAGTTTCCCAGAGGGAAAAAAAAGCAGAAAAAAGAAGAGATTGTATTATCTTTTTAGTATAGTATTATCTTTTTGTATTATCTTTATGTCACGAGAATGATGTAATTAAAACTTCCGTAAACGCACGATTTCCCAATTAAAATATGCGCTTATAAAATTGCGCTTGCAATCGATATGCCGCAAAATTGCAAACGCGAACGAGACTGCGAATTCCATGCATTTTTATTTAGTTCAGAAAAGAGAACAAAAGGTGGATGAACGGAATTAAATAAAATCGGTCCCGGATGCCGATATCATGGAATATCTATCTGAATATAACGAATTATCAGCTTACATTGCCATGCAGTGAATTTTAGTTAAACCGTTTAGCAATTCTGAAAATTGCATACATAGCGTTAAATATTACGATAGAAATTACAATAATTTAAAAAAAACAAATAAAAAGACTCTCTTTTACTCGCATGTTCAGTTTCTAATCTAATAAAATAAATTAAAATCTAATAAAATAAAGTTAACAAAAATAAATTGAATTATATTATGTATAATCAAAGTTATGTATAGTCTGTATATTATAAAATCTTAAGAATTGTACCTGAAAGTATTCTAAATAAAAGAAATTTATATATAAAATATATAAATTATAATTATTGTATAATTTTTAACAATTTTATAAATACAAGAATAATTAATATTGAAATCAATTGAATTCTAATTTTTATAAATTATTTTAATCATCATTAGATAAAATTTATTAATGTTGTATTATCGAATGTTTACACATTCAATAATCTTCAATATCGATATCATATCAACAGAAAAAAATAATATGTGAATATATATAATGCATTAATAGTAATAAAGTTTTATTCATTTTATAAATAATTAAAATTTTTTATAAATGTTAATATATTTACATTCAAATCACATCGTATATGTACATATAATGATACTATTACAAAATATTAATATTTTTTTCTTATATTTTATCTATCATTCGCTGACGTGATAGATAAAATCCACATAGAATGAAGAACAACAATCTGCCATTTTTCAAGTTGTAAGTAGTACATTATGTAATATATATTTCAGAAACTTGTCCCAAAATTTAATATATATATAGCCTACAAGTTGACGCCGTGCCGCAACGCGGAGAAGTGCTTTTTTTTTACGGGTCGAGTCGTTGTGATCCTATAGTTTTTATAAAAGCAATTTGCATGCAGAGCGTAGAGTGGCGCATTGTGCCAGGAGATTGAACTTCTCTCGAGGTCAATTTAAAAATCCTGGTTCATTATTTTGCGAAACACGACATAGATCGGCATAAGCAAAACTACCACGTCGCGAAAAAGCAGCTTCTCTCACTTCCCGTTTATGTAGAAATGACGGCATTTCTTCAGTGATGTGCGAGATGCTACGAGATTTTTGCGAAAACTCCACGAGCCACATGAAAAGATACGAATATTCGAATTTGAGCAACATTGATTCCTATAAATTTAAGAAATCTTTATTCAGAATAAGTAGTCAACGAAAAATATATTTTTATATTTGTAATTAAGAACTGAACTGAACTCAAAAAAATCGCTAAAGTTATAATATATTCTCCGATAATTTTAATTATATTAATTCTTATATTAATTAAATCCAAATTTTAATTCTTTTTTCATCAAAATATGTATCAATATATGCTAGAATCTGATAATTAAATTCTAATTCTCTCCTAATAATATATTTAAACTACTAGATCATTTAATCGTTTAATATAACTAAATTATAAATGTAATAAATATAATATTTCTTATATATTAATAAATGTTTTAAAATATAAAAAAATATAAACAAATTTCAATTTAAAAACAATTTTATATTAAAATAAATATAAATAAAAAAAAAATTTATATTGAAATAAATAACAAAAACGTAAACTTTCGCTACCCAAGAAACGCGATGTTCGAAAAATGCATTAGCGGGCAAATCAATATATAATTTATAAAATTTCTCTGTCCCGATTTTCATAGAAATAATTGAAGTATAAGAAATATATACTTTTTATTTAAGTATACGATTAAAACAACACATTTACAAATTTAACAATTGATTAGGAATACATATAAATAAAACGCATGAAGATATTCAAAGAAGAGATCCAATATACATAATTTCGATTTATATAGACTTGAAAAAAATCATTAAAAAATCATCTTTACATTCAATCGTAAGTGTTTTATGATTTACATTCATAAATACTTTTTAATCTAGAAGAGACTCACCTCTTTCACTTTGTCCCTTCGCTGTCTGGCAATAGGGTCCTTATCCTCTCCACCGACGATTAATGGCAGCTTATCCGCAGGCGCTGGTGGCACTGTCACCAAAACCAATTCTTCCTTGTGCACAATCAACGATGAAGAACTACTTGTACGCACTCGCGATTCACCCATGTCCGGTTTTTCTAATGTCTTTTGCTGTTGATACTCCTCGTCGATTTTCGCCTAAAAATTCGACGCGCGATCGAAATGCATTCCGCGGTCATTTCAGATGGCATACGAAAATTGTACGATATATGTTTAATTATTGTAATAATTGTTATAATATACGATTGCGTCGAAATGCATTAGTTTGTATTATTATATTTTTACATTTAAATTTGTCTTTCCGTCTCAAAAATTAAATAAAAAGCAATCATATTTCTATGCACAATATTTGAATTATAAAGCTTTTTTTATCAAAAAAAGAGAATGTAGAAATATTCAAATTGAAAAAAATTTATAATAAAACAATACATTCAAAACTATATTTCAATATTTTACTTCTTCTAAAAATTTACACTTTGTTTCAATATTATATTATATAATTATTATTTAGCGATATCTGTTTATATTTAATTAGCGATATTATTTAATAAAAGTAATCAAAAATTATTCGCATATTCACTGGCATACATGACTATAAATGAAAAACAGACTAAAATCATTATAGTCTAAATAATTTTAATTCAAAAGATTGTTTATATCAGTTTCTGGTTTAAATACGTAATGTGTTTAAACCTCACAAACTCATTGGATTTCAATGACTGGTTTCGCTATCTCTGATTCGTAATACCGGCGATAATTATGCAAATGTGTATTGTTGATTCTCACTGAAACTCTGTTAGTCGAAAATACGATTTGAGAGACCCCATGTAAATATTTAGCTTAAATATCAATGCTTTTTTTAGTTAAAGTACAAAAAAACAGCATATTTTAGCTTTAGCTATTTTATTTTATTTATATCAAACAGAGTATGTAGATCTAGTTATCATTCTTATTTATCTTATTATTATTTTTAAATCAAGTTGTATTTTGCTTTCTCTCTATACTTTCTCTCTGTTTAGTTTAGCACACTCTCAAAATGTATGTATATAAATGTATACGATACATGTATAAATATATGTATCCATAATGTATTGAGATACTCCGTGAGTTTGCTAAGTATAAATGATTATGCGGATCAGTTTTTTGCGGAAAAGAAACCAAATGCATTTCCACGATTATGTATGCCATCTGTTATTCAGATACCACGGAAGTACACTCATTTTCGCCTTGTTCACCTCCGTACAAATGCATGCTCTCGAACGCCTTACACCGTTACATCATCGTAAAGAAAAAACACGAACACGTAAGAATAATTTTCGCTCACAACAATAACGCATTTTCATTTTATCTCATTATTAATTCTATTTTCACAAGATTGTAAAATAATGATACTTTTTCGAGAAAATGCTCGTCTGACCGGTGATTTATTGTACACGTTTAATTTCTCCTGTTTTGCGACTTTAGACGAATTAGATGAGGATATTGTTCTTCGCCTCAAGAGGGAAGTTCCTTAAGGGATGCAGCGCAAAAATCGAAATTATCTGGATATGAGAGCGCATAATTCCTGTGCATTCATTTTGTGGAATAATTAATTATTAATGCGTGGGGGGGACTCACTGGTTGTCTACTCAGCCTCCCCCCAACGAAAATAATTTTTTTTGGCTAAATGGAGGAGCAAAATTTTTTGTTGGTGATTTCTGAGAGCGCATAATTATATAATTTCTTCGTTTAATTTTATTAATGTGAGAAGGCTAGCTAGGCAGATAGTCCGATAGATTTCGCTTCGAACGAACGACTTCATCAAATTCTCTCTCCTTGTTTCAAGAGAGATTCAAAATAGAAATAAAAAAAAAAGAAATACATTCCGCGAGGCTTAGCCTTGATACTTTGGTTATGAGCAACGAATTGAGAGAATATTATCACAATGCAACGTGATGCAATTTACTATAGAGTATTATGTAAAATCAGCGTCCTTTCAAAAAAATCGACCGCGACGTGCCATTTGATTTATGACGGAAAAATGCAACGCGCGTGTAAAACGAGTCTTGGTTATTATTTCCTACGAAAGAGAAAAACAGGACGGCAAAACGGAAATAACAATGGAACGAGTCACGCGCGCGTGTGAACAAAATAAATCATGTTTGCAGCATACAATTGTAATAATACGCTTATTTATATCAATTAACAGCTCGGATAAAAATTTTGATTTACATAAAATTTATCAAAATTTATTAAACAAAATGTATATAGTACACATACAAATATAGTATCTATTTATTTATATATACTCATCTATCTATTTATCTATC